AATATACGTACAAGTAAAAAAATAAACAAAAATAGAAATATATTTTTAAAACAGTAAAATTTAAAATATTTTTAAATATTTTAACTTTTATATTTTTCCAATAAATTCCAATAAATGAGTTCCAGCTGAGTTCCAATAAATGATAAATATATCATTTATTGGAACTCAGCTGGAACAATAAATATGAAGGTAAATGAAATCATAAAACATGGGGTAAAGTTTATTTATTTATTGGTCCATTTATATATTTCTGCTTTTATTTTTAATTATGTCAGATTCGGTCCTCCATAGCTGTGATGGTGCAGGTGTGTTAAATGGACAGAAGAGGGCACTCTAACATCACAACGTTTCTGTTCAGCTTGTGTGTCRGGGTGTAATGATGGTGACCCCAACTGGAGTGAGCCATAAATAATGTAACTGTTTGCCTGAGAGGAGGATATGAATAGTTTGGTGCCTCTTGTCTGCACTATAAACATCTCTGTGTGCCATAACAGGGTTTTAAATGGAAGGATTCTGTGACCAAACAGAATGTTTGAAATGTTTATAGAAAAAGAAGAAACAAGTGGAAATAAAGGTTAAAGGAGTCATTATTATTTATATTGAAATATGGTTAAGTAAAATATAAAATAATATGTGCTAATATGTTTTAAGTCATAATTATGGCGTGAATGCTGAGTCACTATTTTTATTTTATAGTTTGTTCTGTACTTTTTTGCAAAAACTACTTCTGCATAATTTGAACTATTTGAACCATTCAACTCAATCAGGAATAAAATGACATGACATTAACTTTTCTACTTTTTAAAATATTTTGCTTGCTTTTATAAGTAAAAAAAATTAAATTTAATTAAAAAAAACACACACGGAGAGCTCTTCAATTCCTTCTAAAATATTGCTTTCTTTGACATTTGCTTCGGAGTATGCATATTTTTGCCTTCTAGATTTTGATTTAGCATCTGTTTTCCTAATTATTTTAAGTTAGCCTTCGCAGCAATGCATTCTGGGTCACAGAGTTGTGCATTACTTCGCTGGCCAGATCTGCAGCTTTCTTGGCCTGCTGGACGTCCAGAGATTGTGAGGCCTCCCAGCCGACCCCCTTCATCCAGTTCAGGTCCGACCGGTACTGTTTCTAAACACGGATGCAAACAAATCGCAATGTTAACGCAAACTCTGCAGTCCCAACACAAATGGCTTCAAAGGAAAGAGACTTACGTCACTCTGTAAGCCATAGGCCTTCTTAGCCCAGGCCACATTGAGGTCAGTCGGCAGAGTGGTGTATTCATGGAGGAAGGTCCTGTACTTGATATCGGTGGCGAGGTCTTGAGCCTTCTTGGCATGGCTGATATTCAGCATGTCCAGAGAAACACTGGGGACAGAAAATGAWTTTGSCGTTTTATTCCATAACATTTTAAGCCACTTCTAGTTATGCTCTGAATGAGAGCTTTTTGTGTATCGGAGGGATGCTCAAGTTGCCATAGTGAGTTCTGAGAACTCACCTGAGCTTGAAATGTAGTGGAGGAGTAGGGCGAGATGCAAGTTTTTAGACATGTATAAACTTTAAACTAGAGATACGTTCTCTTATTTTTTACTACAAGTGCTAAACAGCAGTTTTGTTTAGGAAATGCCTTTTCCTTTGTGGACAATAAGGATTATTTCAAAAGTGTCATGATCTGATTGCAGAAATAAAACCTTATTCCCACAGTTATATACTTTCAATGATTATTTGTCCTTTAAATAGACACTGAATTTTGAATTATACTGCTTTACTTGTCTTAGACATATTAGAACACTAAAATCAGTTTTAAAAAATCTAATTTGATTTAAATATCTTATTTCACCTGAAGGCAAAGGGGTGAACAATCTCAGATTATTGAGACAGATTAATGG